CCAGTCAGTTGGTCAGGAAGAGCTGTCTTCCAAATTTCTTGGCATAAACAAGTAAGCACAGATAGGGCTACGTCTGTTTACTGAAATACCTCCATTAATGCTCCACTAGTTCTTAGAGTCCTATTTTTTTGCCAATGTTTTTAGTATCATTGGAACATCTTCCTTCAGCACCATTGTTTCTTGACCATATGTGACTTTCTAAAATGGTTCAATCAATTTTTTTTGGTATATTGACTAAATATTTTCCTTCCATTTTCTTTTTTGTTAAAATTCTATTAATTTTAATGAACATTTACAGAGATTTTGGGTTTCCATTCATTCATTCTTGCACTATTTTCTCTACCCTCCCCTCCAGTTCGTTCCTCTTTTTTTTCCCCCCCCCCGAAAGTCTGTTTTAATTATCCTGTTGCCACAATGCTTGTCAAAACCAGTTCTGATTAATTTCCTTTGTCAGTGTGTCCGTTGCCATTCCCTATCACTCCTCCCTGAAAGAGACTTCACCCTGATTCATAAGAAAAAGGGGATGGCATATTCTCTTAGCTACTTCCTGCTGAAAAGGGAAGCTGTAGGTTTCAGGGGGAAGATCTTCTCTCAATACTCTAAAGGGTCCCATTAGCAATAGGAAACGCATAGACTATTGTGGAGATTGATTTTGGAATTTAGATGCACTTTTATCAGTTGGGCTTAGCCATACATGTTCATATCCTTGAAGATGTATCATGGAACTATTGCAGCCTAGGAGACACAAATTTAACTAACAAATTAAAAGTACATGAGTCAAAAATTAAAAAGCATTAATATTCCAAGTAGAGGTTCTAATAGTAGCACAAATAAAGTTGCAGAGGGAAGATAGTTCTTAAAATAAAAGGCCTATTGACTAGCACTTTTTCTATTATAGTATAAAGGTTAGGAACCACAAGATGTAGAGGCTCAACTATGTCATTTATTGTTCTTAAGTCTTGGAGCAAATTCCATTTACCACTGGATTGTTTTACAGCTCGGAAGGCCGCATGCAAGGCAGAGGTGAAGTAAGGAACTGCTTATGAGGTTTTCCATCAATTCCAGAAACTAAGAAATAGTGAGAAGTGTTGGGACCTCAGAAGGCTTTTAGGACCAAATAGTAGGCTCTTGTGTCCAAGAGAAAACTAATATACTTATCAGTAATGTTAATGCTCACCCACAGCTGGGGTCTGTGAGTCCTCTCAGCCATGAGGACCTGATGTGGGCCACCCTTGGCCAAGTGTCCTTCAGATCCACACTTAAAGCAAGTGAGTGG